TCTTTCAGCAATGTCCTACTAACTAACACACACACACACACACACACACACACACACACACACACACACACACACACACACACACACACACACATTTACTCTGCCAACACCCTGCTGGCTGAAATCTACAAGCTGTTCACTACCTTTTACAGCCCTTCCAACCAGACCTCCAACCCCCGTCTTGGCCTGGTGAGGCACAACCCCTGGGCAAACCAGATTGGGGTAAGGATCGGGCATGGCCATGACAGTGACTGCAGAGCAAGACCCCTGACCCCTACTCAGATCAGCCCCCCCTCACTAATCTCTCCTCACTCGGACATGCTGCTCCCCCTCCCCAAATTCCTGAAAGCCTGGGTAGGGAAGCTTATTTTCTCTTGTGATGGTCTGAGCTCACCCTCCCCACCCGGACACAGCTGGAGGTAAGATAGATCCCCCTCCATTGCTCCCCTTTGGGAAACAAAGTGTTAATTTAGAGGAATCTGACAAGGCTCAGACGTGGAGTGGCTGATCTCTGCTCAGATTCTCCACAGTTCCAGCCCCTGTTGCTTATTGAAGGAAATGACTCAGTAACCCAGTTACACATTTTATTAACATGAACAAATAAAACCAAGAACACACATCACTAAGGCTAAATGACTATAAACACTACTCAGCTAACTAAGGGATAAACAATACAGTGAAAGTTCAGGTCAAATCAGTAAATCAATGAGTTAACAAGAATATTGGGTTGGAATCAAGTCATTAATTTAGTCAAACCATCAGTTTAATACAGCAGAAAATCAACCCTTATAAATCCTAAACCAGCAACCCAAGAAGGCAGGTGCATATTTAGTGATGCCGAAACCCCAATTGGATTTTTCCCCAGGCAGTGCATTCCAGATTTAGCCAGCTGAATATTTCAATATCGAAACCAAATTATTGCTTACATTTAGCCCACAACCTCAAAGCTAATTCGTTTTCTCCTTAGATTTCATTATTGCATCGCTAATACTTCTCCTCACCCCAAAACACAGATACAGACCTTATTGAGACATTAGTAAAAGAAGTTCAAAGAGCTCTCGCTGAACAATGTATATCTGACAGCTCAATTCCTTGGAATCCTTCCATAGGTAAAGGAGCGTGCCTGCAGTCATTTCATAGGGCAGAGTGTTAAGGCTATTAAGATTTGGGGAACTAGTTCTTCTTAGCATCTTCTTGTGTAGATTTCAGAGGTGTTCACACACACACACCAACTGAGCCGCACTGTTACACCCCAATCTAATAGAAAGGCTGGAAGGCTCCACGTCCATAAAAAAAACAATAGACAAAAATAGAAAAAGGAAAATAAATGTCAAAGATTACAAGGGGTTGGATCTCTGCAGCTCTTTGTCTTTGGATTCACATGGGGTAGGAACTGTAGCTGCAACTGAGGAACCAGGTAATGGCATAGATGGTCCAGCACTTTGGGCTAGCAGGCTTTTCAGGTACAGGGAGACTAGTGAAGGCTGCATAGCCTGTCAACGTTGTGCTTCATTCCCCAGAGGGGATCAGTCCTGGGATCCTGGCAGTCAGTCGCTCTTAGATGACTTACATAAGAACACAAGACTGGTCATACTAGGTCAAACCAATGGTTCATCTAGCCCAGTATGCCGCCTGAGAGTGACCAGTGACAGATGCTTCAAAGGGAATGAACAGAACAGGCTTGTTGATCTGAAAGCTGAAGGACTTCCACCTTTACCTTTCACTTTATTGTTGTAGATTCCAGCTTACCCCACCTCCCCTGAGGTCTCTGGGCAAATCAGGTGTGAACTAATCCTTCGATACAGATGTGTCCCACTGCAGTTGAAGTGAGGCAGAGTTTGGGCCAATGTCAGTTTGAAAAAGCCCCGCTTAACCCAGCAGTTTTCTCAAAGTATCTGCTGTTGTAAACCACATGTAGTGTGGACCTGCGAACCACAAAGGTATCAAACATGAAAGAAACATAAGGCCAGTTATAGGGAGGTTTCCATGGTCAGGCCTGACGGTTAAACAGCTGTGCTCTAACAACTGGCCTCCTAAAAAAGAAAAGGGGCCTCAGCACCCATAAAAATAACTGGTTGCAAAAATAAATCATGCATCCATCACCATTTTAAATTCTGACATCTCCTGCCTGATGTGTCTTTGTTTAGCAAACAACTGAATTGGGGAATTCTGTGGCTGTTACCTTCTAACTGAGTAAAATGTTACACATCTTGTCTCAAGCAATTTTCCTCTTAACAGAAAATTTATTTTAAAGTTTATCAAAATAAATTCCATATGAAATAGAAATAATGACTGTCTATACTGGGTCTCCATTCTCGTACATGCTATTTCTCTCACATATTCCCCCACTCTAATTCCTTTGGAGTGAGGTTTTGCTTTTCAGGATTAGCCTCCATTTCCTATCTAGTAGGAGGGGGCAGGGAGAGAACTAGAAGAAAACATGAACTATATTATAACACTGAAAGTTATCACATAATCAGCCTCTTACTTTACACTAATTAACTTCATGTTTAATTTCATTGTCACTGGTAACAATTTATTCAAAGATCACAAAATATAAACCTATAGGGCAGTTTTCTCTTAATTCCCATTTCCACCCAGTGAGCTTTATGTGAAGTCACATTCTACAATCATCTAGAAGCCTTCCATTTCTGTGAGTTCATTTCTCCCTGGCTCTTCTCCCAGAAGTGTGGGTGGAAGGGGTCTCACACTATGTGGGAAGGCTGCATCATGAGAAAAAACACCTGTGCTCTATTTTCACACTTTCTAATCTTTCAAAGTAGCAGGAGGAGACAAATGCATTAGACTCAAGAGCAAAACTAAGAGACCAAACCACAGACTCTGCACTCAGCATTCATGTATCCTGCAGTCTGAACTTGGAATCTGATACATTCCCTCATTGGCTACCATCATTTGCCCAGAATGGAAGTGCTTCTTGTCCAACAAGGCAGCCAGATTGGGACCATAGGCATGGAATGGCTCTGAAGGAATCAGCTGTTTCTCTCTGTGCTTCATGAAACTTTGGATCCAAATGGTAAAAGACAGTTGTTCCCAATTTAATCATGGCAACCTTTAGGAGCGTGACCAATGCCACTTAACTAGGGAGCAGAGCTCTAAAAATAGTTTACCTGGGCCAAGGTCACCATAGCTTCCATCTCTGGGGTGAAAATCGACCACTGAGACCTGCAATTTCTACCTGAGTTCTTGTCAAATCTTTGACCTTACTTGGAGTAATATTACACTTCTCTGGAGTTCAATTGCTTTGAAAGGGGGGGACAGTATAACCGTGATGCTCAGGGTTTGTTTAGACTAGGAAAAGTGATGGAGTTTAGGTCAGGTCAAGGGGAAAGCTAATGCCAACCACTGCACCTGGGCTGCATCTGCACTACGACTAGAATTGTCTTTTTACACCAAGATCACGAACTTGAGAAGCCAACGCCATGTACAGTCCTAGTGGATGTAAGGCACAGGTAGTTTTTGCCTCAGTGCAGCTTGTTGGGATCAAACCTCTGTCTCCCACCTGGAGCTGATGAACATTCCTGGCTGGTGGGACACACACTCCTACGACTCAAAAGGAAAGGAGTTGATAGAAAAGATCACAGGACTGACCCCAAAGAAGGGTAAGGTGCAAAAGGCAGAAACAGGCAACTCATCTGGGGGAGCTGAGAGACCACAGTGAAGATGGTGCAAAGATCTCTATGTGGGAATTAGCAAATGTGATTTAAAAAAAAAAATCTTTGGCCAGCCCTAAACAAGGCATTTGTTCCAGTTCTCTCATGTGGATTTTCTGATGTTTAATAAGGTGTGATCTCTGATTGAAGCGTTTTCCACACTCAGGGCATGTGTAGGGGGTCTCTCCTGTGTGGATTCTCTGATGTCTGCTCAGGACATAGCTGTGTTGGAAGCGTTTCCCACACTCAGAGCATCCATAAGGTTTCTCATCAGTGTGGATTCTCTGATGTGTGATCAGGGCAGAGCTCTGATTAAAGCTTTTCCCACAGTCAGAGCATGTGTAGGGCATCTGTCCTGCGTGGATTCTCTGATGTCTACTCAGGACATAGCTGTGTTTGAAGCGTTTCCCACACTCAGAGCATTCATAATGTTTCTCATCAGTGTGGATTCTCTCATGTCTGATAAGGTGTGAGCTGTGTTTGAAGCTTTTCCCACACACAGAGCATGTGTAGGGAGTCTCTCCCATGTGGATTCGCTGATGTGAGATGAGGACTGACCTACCAATGAAGCATTTCCCACACACAGAGCATCCAGATGGTTTCTCACCCGTGTGGATTCTCTTATGTGTGATAAGGGCAGAGCTCTGAGTGAAGCTTTTCCCACACTCAGAGCACGTGTAGGGTGTCTCTCCTGTGTGGATTCTACGATGTGTGATAAGGTATGAGCTCCGACTGAAGCTTTTCCCGCACTCAGAGCATGTGTAGGGCTTCTCTCCTGTGTGGATTCTCTGATGTGTGAGAAAGTCAGAGCTCCCATTGAAGCTTTTCCCACACTCATGGCATGTGTAGCGTGTCTTTTTCAAGTTGATTCTCTCATGTGTAATAAGGTCTGAGTGGCTACCGAAGTTTCCCTCTGGCCTGTGCTGACTCTCACAGGTTTTTGCTTTTTCTGGGAGTGCACAACTCCTGGAATCATTCCCTTTGGATCTTCCTGATAACATCCCATGGGATTCTACTTGCTCAGCATCTTCCTGCTGGGGTTTCTCCTTGTTCTCACTCACCATCCTAACACCTGATGGGAGACAGAGAGAATCCAGACATAGGTCACTCCCTGAACCAGAGAGAAAGGAAATCTCAGAGAGAGGAATGGAAAAAGGGATGAACAAACCAAAATATGTACAGGAGAGATCAAACCTATCAGGAGCTGATTATCCCTAAACCTTTCCCCAGTGAGGAAGTGATCAGTTCTGGGTCCGCATCTCACCAGAACTCTCAGGGGAAAGTTAGATTGGGGAGGGACCTGCTGCCAGTTGTCAGTCAGGGAAGGTGGGAAGCCACGAGTGACATCTCCCTAATGATTCCACATCTGCAAGGAACAATCCTAAACTTGGAGAGCTCACAACATCTTTGTAGGGCATCCCAAATGTTTCTTGTATTCACGGACAGTTTTTGAGCTAGTTTAACCAATTCCTCACCTGTGCAGGCAGCTCTCGGGAGCACTTCTTTCTCAGAGCCGTGAAAGTGCAGGACCCACAGCTCTTCCCCTCGTTCCAGCTGTGAGATCACATCAGGTTTGGAAACTGGAAACCCTGCTCAAGGCAAAGAAAACAAGAAAGGTCTGTGGAATTTGTGGGATACTTGTCACAAGGAATATTCCATGATTTTAACCCCAGCTCATTTTTAAGTAGTAACATCCCAAGGCCAGCTTCCTTGGCTCAAAGTGGCAGGAGAGTTATTATTATTATAAATCATATTAATTACCTTAGTGCCTAAGGGCCAACTAACAGTGGGTCCCCGTTGTGCTAGGCACAGTACAAACCCAAATAGTAGATGGCTCATGCCCTGAAGAATTTACAATCTAAATAGACAAGTCAGACACAGAATGGGGGAAGGGGTAGAACCTACCAGCAGAGTGAACTATGTGAAGGCAGAGTGACAGATCTGATGAACAGAGGCATATATCTTTAGACTATTGTATTTAATGTTATGACTAGGGTCAGTGTTTTCTGGAAATTGACGCTATTACTGCATTTTTTCCGAAATTACTCTTCATTTCTGGAATCACCCTTCATATCCGGAATTCCTGAACAGAGGGTGGGTGGGGCATGCAGGGTCACAACCCCCCAGATTTCTTCCCAGAGACATCTGACTCATCCCCAGGGTGCGGGGCAGAGGTGATGTGTGGGCAGGGCACACAGGGGACAACCCCCCCACGCCCCAGATTTCTGCCTGGAGACACCCGACTCCTCCCCAGGACACAGGGCAGAGGCTGGGGGCTGGCTGCTGTTGAGACTTGCTGCCAATTTCTTCCGTCCTCATACAAGTCTGGACTCAGCAAGACCTCTGTGGAGCTTCCCATGGGCAGGTTGGGCACTTGGCAGTGGGACGCTGGGCTCCCTCATCATGCTGTAGAGCGGACGGCGCTCGCACTGGCTCTCAGCTGCATCCACAGCACCTCTCCCCTGCACACAGCTGGTTCATGCCCCGTCTCCCCAGCACACAGCCGGCTCTAGGCTCTCAATGTCCAATGTCTGGGCCCCACCTCCCCCACACAGCTGGCTCCTGTCCTCTCTCGCAATGCACTTTTGGGCTGTAAAGGATTATATATTGCTCACGTTTGTCAATTACTCTCTGTTTTCGTTACCAGCAAACACTGGCCCTACCTATGATTGTTATCTGTATCTCTGAGCCAGCCCTTGAAAGCACGAACACTTCACAGACTATGATGCTGAGATGGGCCAGATGATACCGGGAAGGGCTGAGGGATGGGTTTCCTCTGCAATCTGGTGTCATTAAGGGGTGATGAACGACAGATCTCAAGGATGGTTCTGCAGATCTCCATCTTTCGAAGCTTTGCCCCATACAGAAAGGGGCAGTGACTTATTTTACCTCTTTCAGGAGACAGACAGAGACTTTCTGGGGAGAAACAAATGAGTTTGAGCTGACTGAGGGGGGTTTTTTGGGCTACAAACTGACATGACCTGATAACCAAGAGGTAAGCTTTTAATGCACTTGGGAATGGATCAGGGATTCCCATGAGGAGATGATGGTAAATACGAATTTAGATGCTTTTCTTGTTTTATATCTTTTCCCCATAAGGCACACTGACACTGTCATGGATCCATAGGATCTGTGCAATGCCCTGGCTTTTAAACAGTCCTTGGGAGGTGCCCCTGGAGTGCACTAGACCCCCAATGGGTCCCTCTCTTCCACAAAGATAGGCCATGTAGCTTCAACACCTGAGACTGAGCCTCTGGCTTCAACACTCCTATTTCAACCTGTGAGCTCTGCCAGCAGGTCCAGCTGAACGACACTCCTGTTCAGAGACTGTTCCTCAGTCAATGCACAGAGCAAGTTTTTGTTGTGACATTGGGCAGACTTTTAAAACATAGCAGGGTCTATTACTCAACTGAAACACAGCATTGGAATGTCCTTAGATTAGCACAGAGAAGCAAAGACGACAATAGAGTCCAATACCCTTGAGCCCTGCTGCTGTAGAAAACAGTTTTGTTTCCTTTCACTGTGACTGTCCATTTGTCTTCACTCCGGCAGAGCTTCCTGCGTCTGCGAGCCCAGTTCTTCCTGCTCCCAAAAACATAACGAGTCCATATATGCTTCAGTCAGCCAAGCGGAGATCCTCCCATGGACAGGTGACAATTATTCCTTTGTCGGGTATTCCATTGATGTAGGTTGGTCCCAGCCCGTCCTTAATGACCCATTCATATCACCATCTGACAGCTACGTGACAAAACACCTCATGTCTCCTGCTCTTTATAATCATAGCAATACCAATCACAGAGGGAAACTGAGGTGTGTATTGGCATCAAACAAGTATCACCAAAATTCCCACCTCTATCACATACAGACACTGCTCACAGCCCTTGGAGAGAAAGCAAAGCACAGGAACTGAACATTAATCCAGTGAACACAGTGCAGGACAATCTGCAATCCTCAAACCCTGGTCAAAAAGGAGAGGTATGTGGTTCCCTACCGATAAAGAGGGGCTTGGTAGATGCCCGATACCTGAGAGGGCATTCCTTGAGCAGACCATGGAGGCAGGTCAAAGGCTTAGCTACCCCAGAACTGTGACATCACAAAAGCACATTTAGGGGATTTAAGAAATCTAGTGACTCACGTGTAGTGGGAGGGAGAATTAAACTCACCCAGTGTGTGGAGAAGGCTGGGGAATTAAACACTAAAATTCAGGAGCAACAGACTCATAGACTTTAAGGTCAGAAGGGACCATTATGATCATCTAGTCTGACCTCCCGCATGATGCGGGCCACAAAGCCGTCCCAACCCCTTTCCCTTGATTCTGCTGTTGAAGTCCCCAAATCCTGTGGTTTAGAGGCTTCAAGTAGCAGAGAATCCTCCAGCTAGCGACCCCCGCCCCATGCTGCGGAGTAAGGCGAAAAACCTCCAGGGCCTCTGCCAATCTACCCTGGAGGAAAATTCCTTCCCGACCCCAAATATGGCGATCAGTAGAACAGCCTCTAATTCTTCCGGAAAAGGAGAATGTAAGAAACAAGAACTCGGACACGCAACCTCAGGAGGGACAGGCACAAATATCCAAGGAGCCTGAAGGGAAGACACCTTGTGGCTTCTGCAGATGGGGAGAGCGGGGACAAGACTCTCTCCAAACTCTCACTTCCGTTGACGCTGACCTGATTTTATGATCTATGACCTAGTCACATGTCTTGTGGTCAATTTTATACTCGCTAGAGGTAAAATGTCATCATCGGAGTATTGCTTATTAGCTTGGAACATGCATGGAGGGGCAAGGAGGTGAACATAAATAAATGGGTTATCAAGCTTGCTACAGTTAAGGGCCTTATATTAGGTGGAGGCTTTGTGGGAGTAGTTACGCTGAAGTCTAGGATTTACCTGAATAGGCCTAAGGAGAGAATCCCAGGTCAGATATTTTGCACCTTGATTTTGAGAGATTAACGAGGAACCACAAACAGGTGCAATACACCACAGGGTTCTGAAAGAAGGAAGTTTGGGGTGGGCTTTAGCAATTGGGTTGCTATGCAGTATCTCAGCAGTTGCACCACATTCATAGATTGGAATTAATAAATAAGTGATGTAAAGCATGAGTATTAATGCTTGATGCTTAATTATGGACTTCCCAAAGGCCACCTATGGGTTGGGGCAGCTATTGACATTCTTGTAATCAGAGTAAAGGAGCAGATATGGTATATAGCCATCCTATTACCATAAGGAAGCGGATAAAATACCTCTCCTAGTTACCACTTTTTCATTTTGTCAGGTCCCCGAGTAAAGTGAAGCAGGGCCTCCATTCTGATGGTCTCACTTGCCCCTCGATCTTTGTTTCCAATGGTGTCCATAACTTGTAAAGAGGGTCTTGCCTTATGCATACTTACTATACTTACCTTAGTCTAATCATTATGTGTATTGATCCTTGTCTATGATTTCAATTATAACTGTCTGTATTAAATAAAGTTTCTGTGTGTTTTACCAAATTCCATCTTCTCAATTAACTTTGAGTAGCCATGTACAAGGGCAAGTTGTACCCCAAAATGTAATCTCAGAGCTGTAAAAAGTGCCCATTTGTGCCTAGGTAGTGGCCCTGCTGTGGGAGGGAGGAATGCAGCAAGGACTCAGGAACGATGGCCAGGGTCGCTGTGCATAGAGATGGGGAGGTTATATGGGGAGGGGGGTAATGAGTGGGAGAGGGAGGTCAAGAGTTAAAATAGTAATATTTGGGGGGGAAATGTAAAAAGAAGTGAATCAACAGAAATAAAAATGGAGCGTAGGCTTTAAAATAACAAGACTTGGGTAGGGATTTGGGGTTAAAGGTCTGGGATCCCCCAGAGCTGTAGATCGCAAAATTTCTCCTCCTTCCCACTGACCCACCCAGACCACTTCCTGGGTGCCCTTCCTCCACACTCCCCTCGCCTTCTTCCCATTACTCTCAGCTGGCAGCACCTCCCAGTACCTTGGGAGCTTCTTGTGTTCCCTCCTCGTCTCTTACTACCCGCTCCATCCCTGCTGCTTCTTAGCTCTAACCCTGCACACACCATCGCCATTTCTTGGAACCCCAGAATTATCAACTTCCCCACTTCTACCCCGCTTTGCCCGGCTCTGTTCTCCCTTCACCTGTGGGATCCTGAATGGCAACATTATGCGCTCTCCTATCAAAAGATGAGCTTATCTGACAGTCACACAAGCCATGCATCAGTCATCGACCTATTTACTCAATTTAGAATTCTACGGGTGGCGTATTTTCCTCTTCAAAGGAGGAAAAGGCATGAAACCTATAGTTATTAATGTATCCAATAAGGATACATTAAATGCAATTTTAAAATGACTGACGACACCGAAAAGGCACACGTCCAAAAATTATTCTAGTGGGTGGGAGATAAGGGAAAAAAAAGGGGGGCAAGGAAACTTGTCAACACTTGTATGACGAATAAAGTTATTACTACTCAGGTTCTTTAGAGACCCCACAGCTTCTAATAACCGAGGGACAGGACTCCTTACCCAGAAAGACCACCGTCTCATAGTTCTCCTGCATGAGATCCCTGTAGAGGGATCTCTGAGTGGGGTCCAGCAGAGCCCACTCTTCCCTGGTGAAATACACAGCCACCTCCTCAAAGGTCACTGGCCCCTGAAAAAGCAAGAGTCCAACACTCAGTACCTGCTGCCCCACTCACAACCCCACTATTCACGGAACAGCAGCACCAGGTAAACGGAAGCTCTGCGAGGCACATGTTAGCAAAGTCCCACCCCACCTTGCTTAGAGCAGCCAGGAGGCATCAGAGGGTAGAAAGAGAGAACATTTGTGTCTCCCAGCAGACAGACGGAGGCAGGGTCTTCACATACCTACTAGCCAGAGCTTGATATAGGAGATGGGGCTGTCTCTGGACCCTGCTGGTGGCTTCCTGGTAGGAATCCCAACACACTCCAAATAAAATATATGGAAGAAAGGGGAAGTCAATAGTAAAGAATATAAGTGAGAAGGTCAGAATTGTAGAAGACTGGCTATAAGAAATCAATGACCAATCAATGACAATAAGAAGGAAGTTTCTAACAGTATATTAAGTACAAAATTAATCCTAACAATGGTAGTGGTAAATTACTCGACGGAAATGGCAGAATTATCAAAAATAATGCAGAAGAGGTAAAAGTGTTCAATAAATATTTCTCTCCTGGATTTGGAGAAAAACAGATGTTGTACTCATATCATAAGATGTTGATGATGACATTCTTTTCATTCCAACAAGAATTCATGAACATGTTTAAATCAGCAGGTCCAGATAACTTGTAGCCAAGAGTTTTAAAAGGCCTGGTGGAGGAGCTGTTAATGTTGATTTTAATTAGAACTTGGAACACTGGGAAAATTCCAGAAGACTGGAATAAAGCTAATGCAGTCCCAATATTTTAAAAGTGTAAAAGAGATGACCCAGCTAATTACAAGAGTGTCAGTCTGACATCGATACTGGACAAGATAATAGAGCAGCCAATACTGGATTTATTAATAAAGAATTAAAGGAGGGTAATATAATTAGTACCCATGAACAAATGTTTAGAGAAAATAGATCCTATCAAATTAACTGGATATCTTTATTGGATGAGATCAAAAGTTTGGTTGCAGCTAATATTATTGATGTAATATACCTAGACTTCTGTAAGGCATATGACTTGGTTCAGCACAATATTTTGACTAAAAAACTAGAATGTTACAAAATACACACGGCATACATTAAATAGATTAAAAACTGTGATTGTAAATGGGGAACCATGGTCGAGTGGATTTCTTTCTAGCAGGTTCCCGCAAGGATTGGATCTTGGCCCTGTGCTATTTAACATTCTTATCGATGACCTAGAAGAGAATATAAAATCATCACTGATAAAGTTTGCAGTTCCCACAAAGATTGGGGGTGGTGGTAACTACTGAAGTGTCAATAGATTTGGGCTCCAGCACTGGGAGTCTGGGAAGTTTTCCCAGCCCTTGTTGGAGGGCTATTTCCTGTTCCACAAAGAGGGGAAGTTCCATTCCCAACTCCTGTGCCTTGAAATTAGGCCCTATCTGACACTACACCTCATATTCAGTATAGTGGTATGATTATAATAGGATTAGGTCATAATTATGATGCATTATGTGCAAGATGCATCCTGCGCGGTGTCATTGGAAAAGTTATGATTTGCTGAATAGGATTATCCTATTTGTGTGCATGGATCATGTTTGTATCTGAAGTTATGGATATTGACTCTGTATTTCAAATGTGTTTACTCTGGGTAACACCCACAACGAGCCTTTCAGATACAACAATGAAGAAGCCAGACAGTGATGATGGCTGATCAACAAAGACAATGGACCGTAGAAGAGCTTAGCCTTCCTGTGAATGTTTCAGACAGCCTATGAGTCATGGCTACTATGACTCAGCAGGGCATGCTAGGGCATGTGACCAGACCACATGACACTGAACTCCATTTTGGTACCTGTATTTTTCAACAAATTGAACTGGGAACTGAGTTTGGAACAAAGGGTTCCCGCTATGTGGTAAAGCTACATAAGGTGGGGTGTAACATCGTCTCTTGGCCTCATTCCCCACACAAGCGAACTCCTGGAAACACCTAAGGAACAAAGACTGAACTGGTGGAAGTGCTGGTCCCAGGGTAAAGGGATTTCTAGCTTGTGTATGGAAACTTGGTGGACTGCTTGTACCATCAGTCAGGGTGAGAAATTGCTAATTCAAATTCTATCCATCTAATATGTTAGGCTTAGTTTCAGTGTTTGGTTATTTGCCAAGTAATCTCCTTTGATCTGTTTGCTATCACTTATAATTGTTGGGATATGTTAGGGTTAAGTAAAAGAGCTGGGAACTGCTAATGTGCTGACATGGCATAAGCAGGCAGTCATTCTTTGCTTAATAAATAAGTTGCCATAGTTTTCCTTTCCCTGTTGTTTGTAAGAATTGATAAGGATGCAGCTGCATGAGAAACTTAGTTGTCGGAATGAATGGCCTTTGTGTGAAAAAGTAAACGAAATGTTATCTCCCCCTCCCTTCCTTTCCCAGCTACATAAACAAGCCCTGGCTTATGGCCCCTTCCTCCCTCCCCTGAGAACTGCTGATTAAGGAAATTTGTAGCAACACATTAATGCAAAGAACTGTATTTTCAAGGTAAACATGTCTGTATGACATGTGTAATCCTGTGAATAATAGATAGGGGTGGGTATACTAACAGTATGGGTGTTTCTATTACTTAATAAGGGTTTTGGGGGTGTTGTAATGGATGTAGGCATGTACATACTAACTGAGATAAAAGGAGTGTGATGTAACTTATCCAGTGCTTACTCGACAATTGGGTCGAGGGGAACAAGTATCGCAATAAAGAAGCCTGTACTCATATCTGCCTCCGGGTCAACCTGTTCCTCTATTCTTCTAACAATAATCACTTAAAATTTATCTTTCTGCAGTTAATAAACTTGTTTTATGCTTTATCCTAACCAGTGTTAAGTATTTTGAGTGAAGTATACGGGGAAAATCTGAGCTTGGTTAGCACAAGCTTGTTGTGCATATCTTTCCCATATCGAGGGAAAGGCAAATTATATTAATGAGATTACATTATAGATATCCCTGTGCACTATAAGATGGTATCATTCTGAATTTATACTACAGCAAGTGTGCAAGGTTGGGGAGCTGGGAAATCTGTTGTTGTCTTCTATCTGTCCTTGAGTGGCTTAGGTAAAGCACTCAGGTAGCTTAGTTGGGTGTATGGCGCCACCTGCTGTTGTGTTGGGTGATAACAGGGCCTGGAGAGGCTGACTGAATCTCCAGCAAAGCAGTGTGAGAAGGGCCAGCCCAGCTTGAGGGTTAGAGGGCACAGTGGTTCCCAGAAGCCCCCGAGACTGCACCCTGAGGGTAACAACCCATCACACCCTAGATTAATCAAGTCTCAGCGGGTTTCTCACATCCTGTTATTTCCTGCCTCCCACCACGTACAGCAGATACCACCTTCCTATGCCTTTACTGCTCCTCTCCCTCCAAGCAGAGCCCACCACCAGCTCCGTGATAATCTCTTACCTGAGCAAGCTCCATTGCAGCCATTTCCTTCCCCAGGGAGGATGGGAGGATCTGGAGCAAACGTGGACATTATTCTGTAGCCTGATAGGACGAGAAGGGCAATCAGAGAGAATTCAGACGGGGTTTTTGTCCATTCCACATGCTGCTTTCCCCCCCCAGGATTTCTCCTTGCTAATGGACATTCTAGGTTCTGCCACACTGTGAAGCACAGAGTGACCTTATTCCAGTACAGGCCTAGCCCCCTCCCACCAGGGTATAACCCTCTGAGACATGGTGACACCCTCCCAGTAACAGTCTCTGTTACACTTATCAAGTTTGCGGATGATATCAAGCTGGGAGGGGTTGCAAGAGCTTTGGAGGATAGGATTAAAATTCAAAATGATCTGGACAAACGGGGGAAAAGGTAAATAGGATGAAATTCAATAAGGAAAAATGCAAAGTACACCGCTTAGGAAGGAACGATCAGTTGCACACATACAAAATGGGAAACGATTTCCCAGGAAGGAGTACTGCGGAAAGGGATCTCAGGATCATAGTGGATCACAAGCTAAATATGAGTCACAGTGTAACGCTGCTGCAAAAAAAGGAAACATCATTCTGGGATACATTAGCAGGAGTACTGTAAGCAAGACACGAGAAGCAATTCTTCTGCTCTACTTCGCACTAATTAGGCCACAATTGGAGTAGTGTGTCCAGTTTTGGGCGCCACATTTCAGGAAAGATGTGGACAAATTGGAGAAAGTCCAGAGAAGAGCAACAAAAATGATTAAAGGTCAAGAAAACATGACCTACGAGGGAAGATTGAAAAAACTGGGTTTGTTGAGTCTGGAGAAGAGAAGACTGAGAAGGGACATGATCACAGTTTTCAAGTACATAAAAGGTTGTTACAAGGAGGAGGGAGAAAAATTGTTCTTATCCTCTGAGGATAGCACAAAAAGCAATGGGCTTAAATTGCAGAAAGGGAGGTTACCCACGAAAGCTTATGCTCCCAGTACTTCTGTTAGTCTCAAAGGTGCCACAGGACTCTCTGTTGCTGCTCTCTATAGGCATCTGTGTAGTTCCTGGCACAATGAGTCCCCCAAACTCGGTCAGGGTTTCTGCAGTGCCCAGCACACTGGGGGACCTGATCTCAGGCAAGGATAAGAGCCCGGATCTCAGTCAGACACCTGGAGAGAAAAGCGGGAAGATTTTCAAGAATTTGCTATCAGTATTTCAGAACTGAGGAGAAAATGGGGCACACACTAAATATTTGCCAATGTAAGAGAGAAGCAGCAACACCTGGGGAGATTTTCTGTCACCATTCAACAGTTCAAGAGAAAAGAGGGGAAATTTGAGGGGATTATACAGCGATATTCAATCAACAACAGAATGGGATGGATTCTTCTTGTCTCAGGGTATGTCTACACTACGAAATTAGTTAGAATTTATAGAAGCCGGTTTTATTGAAATCGGTTGTATACAGCCGATTGTGTGTGTCCACACAATAAAATGCTCTAGGTGCTCTAGTCAGCGGACCGCGTACACAGTACAAGGCTAGCGTCGACTTCCGGAGCATTGCACTATGGGTAGCTATCCCACAGCTATCCCACAGTTCCCGCAGTCTCCGCCGCCCCTTTGAATTCTGGGTTGAGATCTCAATGCGCGGTTGATGCTAAACAGTGTCGCGGGCGGTTTTGGGTAGATGGCGTCAGCCCCCTCCCTCCCCCGCCCCAGCAACGGCAGACAATAGATTCGCGCCTTTTTACC